AAAGGTCTTGTGCAGCAGATTTACCTAATGCAATACGTGGCTTGATTTCTTGACTGCTGCTTCCATGAGTGTTGATGGTTGATCCAAGAAGAATGAAGTCCTTGACAACTCCAATCTTTTCTCCATTGATAAAAATGTTTATTGGTCCAGTGGTGAGGATTTTTGTTTTTCTGACCATAGTGAAATTAAATTAGAAGTCAACAACAGAAAGCTTATCTGGGAAAAACAGAATATTTGGAAACACTAAATCACCTGTTCAGACCGAGTGTCCTAAGAAAAATTAGAAAATATTTTAAAATATGTGGAATAGCACATCCAATTAAAAATTGTGAGTGCTGCTAAAGCAGCACTGTGAGGGCAATTGATAGCACTGCCTGTTTCTCCTGGGGAGTCCTGGTGTGGTGCTGTGGGGAAAGCACTGGACCAAAAGTCATTTGAATTGCAACATCAGTGGTTCAAACTCACCATCTGATCCTTGGAAACCCTGTACAGGGTTGCTGTGAGTCAGAACCAACTCAATGGTACTTAACAACAACAATTTATATTGGGAGGGTTTTCAAATCCATGGTCTAAACTTGCACTTTAAGAAACTATGGAAATTAGAGTAAATTATGGCCAGGCAAACAGAAGGAAGGAAATAATGAAGAGCAAAGATCAATAAACTGCAAACAGTGAAACAAAACAGCAATACGTCTAGAAACTGGTTCTTTAGAAAATAAAAGTATCCAAAGTGACCAAGAAAAAAAAAAACACAGAGGCAGTACAGAGTGTCAGTATTAAGAATGAAAGAGAGATTGTGCTACAGATCCTACTGACATTTAATAAAATAAGACTGGTATGCGATGAACAACTTTATGCCCATACGCTTGACAATTTGGCTAAACTGACACATTTTTTGAAAGACAAAAATGACCAAAGCTCACTCAAGAAATATGTGACCTGAATAGTCATGAAAATGGAACCCACCAAACCAACCACCATCGGTTTTGACTCTAACCCACAGCGCCACACCAGGACTCCATAGACCAGATAAGGGTCTTTAAAGAAAAGAAATTTACAGCACTTATCACTCATTAACATAAATTCAGGAATCCTTGAAAATATTAGCATAGTGAAGATAGCAATATGTGAAAAGTATTATATAACAGGGCCAAGTGGCCACGTACCCTAAGGATGCTTCAGTAACAAAAATCTATTCCCAATGACCACAGAACAATGGAGGCAAATCTCATAATCATCTCTTCTCAATGGGTCAGCAGAAAGGAGCAGAAAGCCTCCCTCATCTTCCTCCTGAGGAGTGGCTGTTGGATTCAGACTGCCAACCTTGCAGTTAGCAGCCCAACACATCATTGTTGTTGTTAAATGCTTTCAAGTTGGTTCTGACTCACAGCGACCCTGTATAAGGTTCCTGAGGAGTGGCTGATGGGTTTGAACTGCCGACCTTGTGGTTCAAACTGGCCTTGCAGTCCAACACATCATCCTGCAGCGCCATACCCTGTCTCCCACCACACTCAACCCATAGGGTTCCATAATTTGCTGCAAGATCATACAGAACTCATGAACTCTGAAGGAAGTGGTTCACTTGATTGCAGACGCTGGCAAGTCCCAAACCATCAGTCTGGAAGATTCTCTTTGCTCGCATGGTTGCAGGGGCTGAGGAGCCCTAGTTGCGTGGTCGCATGACAGACTCTTGACTCACAAGGTCAGATGATAGGCTGATCATCAGACAAAGATGGGGCAGAGCGGAATCTAAAATAAGCCAATTTCACCGAAGCATCCAGTCCATTGATACAGACCACAGCCCCAAGGAGGCTAAGTGTGGTGACCAGGTCACACCCTCTTGGAAGACGAAGGGTCTTTAACCCAGCAACAGCCCCCCTACCTGGGACCATTTCCACAGACTTGGAGCCTAAGATTGGCATTGCATGCCAGGATGGACGCTCAAAGGGCTGTGTGAAGTGGTTCACTGGCCCGTGTTGCGTACAGGAAACCCCTTAACCTGATAAGAAAGCATCTGTGAAATCCATAATATCATATGTAGTGAAGTAATACTACAGAATCTCCCCAAAGATCAGAAACGAGTAAGGATTCTCTCCACACCTAAGTCCAGGCCCTTCCAGTATGGCAAGAAAGTAATGCACTTTGGAAAAGAAAGAAATGAAACCATCTTTATTCATGGAAAGCATGATTATCTACAAAGATAAAAAGGTTCTAAGCCAGTTGTGTTTTTGTACACTGACAATAATATTGGCAATAAATTTAAATTACAAGTCCTTTTGCAATAGCAGAAGCTGGGGTAGGGGGAAAGCCCATGAAATAGTTAGGTTTCTATTTAAAGATAGCTGCAGAATCTGGATGTTAAAAATGACCAAATCCTGATGTAAGTGAAAGTGTGCCAAGTTACAGAGGAGAATCGTCTGTCCGTGGGCTGGGACACAATGTTGTTAAGATATCAGGTCTCCCAAAATGGATGCAAAGCAAGCCCCTCCAACATCACAGCAGGGCTTTTTGTAGAAATAGACTGGGCTAGTCTCAAAACTGGTAGCGTAGTGGTTACGAATCGGGCTGCAAACCTTAAGGTCAGCGGTTCGAAACTACCAGCCGCTCCGCGGGAGAAAGATGAGGCTTTCTACTCCCGTAAGGATTTACACCCTCGGAAACCCTGTACAGGGTCGCTATGGGTCGGAACCGACTTGACGGCACTTAACAACAACAACAGTCTCAAATTTTGATGGAAAAGTTCCAATTTTGCAAGTGGTCCAGAAAATATCCCAATGATCCATCATTAGAGAGTAAATAACCATGTGAGAAAATGATTCACAGCCCAGCGTTCAGTCTGGATTTCGGAAGGTCCTGCTAGAAAAGCTCGCAACTGTTCGCTTTGGTCCTGTCCTTCAAGAGAGAGCCTTCAGATGGTTCACATTAAGGTCGTTTTCACCGTTGAACCTGATAAATCTTTGGGAGGTGGGGGTGGGGGTGGGGGCCTTTGGTTTCCTTTTGAGTGACTTCCTGAGATTGCTTTCTGTCTTTAATGTTCTGATTTTACTCCGTTACAATCTGTCTCAGAACAAACTAACAAGTTTTTCTTGGAAGTGCCCGGCATAGAGGCACATTAGAATTCTTTTGGCTTTAGAAACACTCCAGGATTTTCCAGCATTTTGCGTCTAATGTAATGCTGCAAACAGGAGACCCGCATAATATATACAGCATGACTAATATTAGAAGCATGTTCTAGGAGCAGCTTGTGGGGTTAATAGAGTTTAATTTGCAAGACAAATGAAGGCTGATTTCCTCCTAGGCTCTCTGCTCTTCATTCTGCTCGGGCCACTTTTGAAGAGTAGCGCCATTAAAAGAAGGCGAGAACCCTCGTGGCAAGCCTCAGAGCGCTACAATCAGACAGACCTTGGACCCCAAGGGGTGTTCCCTACAATCTCACATGCTTTACTAAGAGTTACAGTTGGGGCAGAGCGTAAATACACGTACAAAATGTGACTTGAGCGTTTTAACTCCATCCCAACAAAATAAAGCGTGCCATCTGAATGCCCCACAAATGGGCGATGTTTAAATAAATCAAGGTTCATGTGGGGAGAGGGGCGGTAGTCCACATCCTTGGAAAACAGTGTTTCCAGGAATCTTTATCACAAGGGAAGTTGCTTATGAATAAACATTCCATTTGAGCTTATGCAGAAAGAAATACATAAACTATGAAAATTAAAGGGCTAGAAGGAGCGGGCTAAAATGTCATACAGAGTTCTCTCTGGCTGGGGCTGGGGGTCTGTTGCACCTGCCTAGATTGGACACTGTTAACAGTCAGCTTCAGGCCTCAGCAGAGTTGGCCAAGGGTCTTTTGAGCTTGGTAAATGGAAGATCCCCTTATTGTGTTGTGGTGGTGGTGTGTGGTGGCGTCCATGCTACCTCACAGCGACACTGTGGGACAGAGTGAAACTGTCCCATCGCTTTTCCTAGGCTGTCATCTACACAGAACAGCTGGTCTGTTGGTTCAAACCACAGACCTTTCAGGGAGCGGCTGAGCGCCTAACCAGAGTGCCACCAGGGTTCCTTCCTAGTCACTGAAACAGCCAGAAAGGCCTCACAGTTTTTCTTAACTTCCCTCACACATGCAGTTCCACCTTGGCCAGAACCCTGCGGAGGTAACCCCCAACCTGAATAACAGAGCCTCAGAATGTTGGCGATTGCTGTGAACTCACTTTGTGCATGGTGTCAGAAAGAAAAGGGAGTCTTGTTAGGAAACCATTTCCTCCCCTGGCCAATGTGACCATCCCCAAGATTGGGAACCCACAGTTCAAGATGGCAAGGCAGCGTGGGGTGGAAGAGCAGGGCCAGCCAAGCACTGAAGGAAGACTCTCCCAAGAACAGAAAGTCTGATTCCCAGGGTAAAGCTGGAGTAAGCAGTTTGCAGAGTCAGATGTTTAAAACATGAAAAGAAATGTAACTTTGAGTTACAGTGGTTTTGAGTTTCCTGGTCTTGATGTGACAGAGATTCCTGGGGGACCCAAGATCCAGGGGGAAGGTTCAAAGGCAGAAGACCTCTTAGAGCTGGGCCTGGCCAGCACACTCAGAGTGCCCCTGTCCACCCTTCAGACACGCTTCCCCCAGTCACCGGAAGCCCTTGTCCGTCCGTCTGTTCGTCAGTCCATCTTGTCCGTCCGTCTGTTCGTCAGTCCATGCTGACACACAGGATTCCCTCAGTGTGGCGTGCTGCTGCACCAAAGTTCTGACAGTCCCCTTCCTCTCTGTGACCCCAACCAAGCAGGGTGCATTTGGGGACCAGCTCCCTAAGAAAGCATTGCAGTTTCGCTCTTACTTATTAGAACTATTTACTTTTTAGAAGTCTGGCAGTTCTCTGCAACCAAAGTTTGGACCGTTGTGTATGGGTGATGGCCTGACTTGAAGCCTTCTCCTTGTCATCAGGACCCCTGTGGGTCTGGAGAGCTCCTGGTCCCAGCCGTTTGTGCCGAGGTGCACAGTGCCAGCCTGCC